AGTAGTGACCATTGGCTATTTAAATTGTAATTTCAGTGAAAACAAAAACATATTCTCAAATATCAAGATGTTTAGAATATTTCGAGGACAATCCTACACGAAGGTGTTCATACTGTTACAAAAATATTAGAAAAGAATCAGAATATTGATGTTCGATGTGCAAAGTACCATTATCCTTGCTTTGCTAAATACGATTCTACAGCGGCAATTTGAACTTTTAACTTTTTTTTTAATAAGTATTTGATTTTTCCTGCGTTTTTCGTTTATTATGTAAGTAGTATATGTTAATATTAAGAGAATAAGTGAATATTAGTAATAAAATTGTTACCGTAAAATGAAACTGTCTTTTTGATCCAGTATTCTAACAGCGACGCTAACTCTGTGTTTGACGAGTATACTTCTAATCGGAGGAAACTCCACAGCTAATTGATTAAAGATAATCGGTAGATAATCAGACTGCTCAAGAACTTACGCGCAACGTGAAGGGGCAACAAAACCAATAGAAGAAACTTTTACGTACAAACACCATCCGACATTCCATATGCACCACCAACCCAAATGTTGCCGACATGATCGCGACGCAATATTCAAAGAATCAATGTCGCAATGATGAAAACGAGTCCGCGGCGTGGCGTCAGTGATAGATAGCTTGATGAGAAAATAAATAAGCTCGCGTGCGGTTATTGTTCGTGGCCTTGAGTGAAGTTCGCGCGTACAGACGGAAAAGTTTAAAATGCGACGGGAAGTCGATACCGTAGCGAACTTGTTTTCAACGGGGAAGGAAAATCTCCTTTTCAACGATCAATCGTGCCGAGCCGTGCCCGGTGCGGATTAATAACAGTGGCTCGATCGCCGGCCGCCCGGAATTTTCATGGCGTGCATCGTTCCCATTGATTTCAGGGCAGTTGAATATTCATTGCCGTCTGAATGCATGCCCGAATATTTTTCTTTTATGTGTGTATCTGTGTAAGTGCGCGCGCGTGAATATTCATATATGTGTGTACAAACGAGAGAGAGAGAGAGAGAGAGAGAGAGAGAGAGAGAGAATGGTCGGACTGGCAAATATCACGACGAGTATTTTCCATCGAAATATTGTGTGTTCGCGCGAAATCGCAGCCAACGGTACGTGATTGCATTTATATTCAAGGCAAAATATGTTTCTCATCTCGATTAGCATTTTTCCGGATGACGTACCAAATATATTTATTTTCGGCTGTTCTGTTTCGAGAATTGGATACCAGACCTCGGTAAAACTATTTCAATTGGGAGATACAAATCCTTGCAAATACTATTCCTCTCAACTGTGTTACGTATGCTTCATTTGAGATAGTAGCTTATTTTTGTATCAAAGGAAATATCGATTGAAACACTTAATTGATTTGACGAAGATAGAATAAGTATTTATAAAATGTATATTTCACGAGATTAATCTGAAATACATTTTTCATATTATCTGACGCACAGTTTTATAAAACGTTGTGCTCTTAATAGCGATTGGCTGTGTGAATAGCTAGTGATTGGTTGATAGCGCTATTGTGTGCGAGCGACGAAGTATCAGCCGGATATTCCTCTAGGTCCATGAGATTTCCTGCGCTTCCCGAGTTATTGTTTTTCTACACGGTGCGCGACTGCCAAGGCAGTTTCTCATTCGTAAGCTCGCAGCGGACTTAACACTGCACACGTCGTGACTTTGAAGCGGGATGCGATTCGACCTACCGGGACGGTAATTTTATGCCGTCTCTGTGTACGAAATCCTTGTGCTGCATTATTTGCAGTTTACTAAGGAGTTCGTTCCTCTGGTCACTGGTAGCGTGCTGTTAGTCCACGGACTGACCGAACTCCAGGAATGTGCTGACTTAGCATTCTCAATTTGGTGGTACAGTAAAACCTCGATTGTCTGGACGAAGCAGAGTGGCACTAATGTTCGGATAATAGAACAGATATCAAATTACAGCGCCAGATTTCGTCTTCATTAATTTGTACAGTAAATCGATTGACATACAATTAGCCTTAGATTGAGCTAATTAGATGTGGAACGTGTTTGCATAATACTTAATTTTAATGTTGGAGGCCCGAGAAATCGAGGTACAGTAATTTCTGGCGGAAATGCCGAATTTCCCTGTGCTAGTTCTACGCCTGTATGATCTATTGCTACGTCGATGCTAAAGGTCGACGGAGTCGGTCAAGCGTGTGATGCGGCACACGACGCGAATTCCCGGAAGACAATATAAAATGGTTTGGGTGTGAGTCGGGTAAGAAAAACCACGGAGCTACAAGGTTCGTGGTAGATACTGGGTGACCGTCGTATCGTTGCATGTAGCCTCCGAATTGCTTTCGTATCGTGGCATGTGGCCTCCGAATTGCCTTTGAATCGTGCATATGCCCTCCGAATTGCCTTCGAATCGTGCATATGCCCTCCAAATTGCCTTTGAATCGTGCATATGCCCTCCGAATTGCCTTCGAATCGTGCATATGCCCTCCAAATTGCCTTTGAATCGTGCATATGCCCTCCGAATTGCCTTCGAATCGTGCATATGCCCTCCAAATTGCCTTTGAATCGTGGCAAAAAATTAGAAATAAGAAAGTTAAGTCATCGTTTTTATTCTAGCATTACTACGTATTCATATTAATGTTCACCGACATACTGGCCGCTGCCTTTTTTTGCCGATCACCCCGAGTTTCTATAAAAACGAGCCCTGAGGCTCGAAGAATCGCGACTTAGTATTCTTAGATCTGCCGATTTCAATTCCGACCTTCGAACATTTCTGGGAGAAATTGCTGCACTACTGTACCGCGAAGAAAGTGCGTTTTGTAATATAAGCGTTACCAAACGACATAGAGACGACAGGGGATTAATATCAGGATGTAACTTTATATTGCTCTGACACCTGGAGTCATATTCTACTTGAAATTCTATCGGTTGCAAGAACTAAGTAAACTAGTTTCATGAAATCTCTCCTGAAAAGTATTAATATCGACCTAGCTGTATTATTCAATGAGCACTTTACTCATTTCCCTCAGACTCAGCGGATCTTATTCTGTTTAATTAATTAATTGTGTGCTGAACTTTTATGAGATGTCCACGTCAAAATATAATAGTGACCCCAGACATACACCCATTTCCAAAGAAAATATAGAAGGTAATTTGATAAATATATTTCATCATAGTTTCTTCATCGCAATGACAGATTTTCTTGAATATCTCGGGAAGCAACGCATGTAGAGCATAAAGATTAAGTTATCTGTAATCACAAAATCGCGTATCTATATTTGTTAAAAGTATTTATTACTTCAAAAATATATTTTAAATTCTTTTGCGAATTCTGTTGCTAAATATTGCTTCGCTCTTGCGAAAACCTTATTTCTCAGGAACTAATATAAACTTTCATAATATTTTGAAGAATATTAGCATGTTGCTCAGATACTATTACGTTATCTGCAACACGAACCAAAACGTGATTTGCGACAACGTTCAAAATATTCAAGGTAATATTAGTCAAACATTAAGAGTCTTAGTCATAACTTTATCGCAGTTATGGTCTTAATTATGATCCAGGCCCGTTTGCCTCTCAATAATTCCATTCCACTACGGCGTGCAACAAAAAATGACAAAAGAAATCATTTTCTTTGAAATATATTGCCGCTAGTCATTCCTTATCATTAAGTTAACATTTTACGCTGTAACCTTTGTATCTACGACAGGGACAAACCCATTCTACTTCCACATACCATTCCGGTGTTTGCAAGAAACCAATAAGCCAAGCTAATAGGATGTTCTTTTTTTAAAATATACTATAGTCGGTCGGCCTCTATCATTTGATACGAACCCTAAATCGTAAGCTTCGTTTTGTTTGAGAACAAACCTGAACTATTTTAAAACGAACTCCATTCTCATTTCAGTGAAGCGACCTTAACGAAGCCAAATATATAATTCATCAGCGGGTGTTTCTTTTGGTTCGCTGTATGCTTAATTCTCTTACATCATCCGATAAGAGTCGCAAAAAATAGACTTTCCCTGGTGCGGCTGGAACGATTCCATTCAACTTCGTTATTTACGTTCCATCGTTACGTTAGGGTGATACGAACGGAATGAAAAAGGTATACTGTTCGTGGTGGATCCATATTTTCTCATTAGAGACCACAGATGTAATTCTTCTTTGTCTGACTTCGGACTACAGTAAATTCTCCCCAATTTTCCTTCAGCTTGTAAAAAAGATGGACAATTTGGGAAGAGGAGATACGATTATTCGAGCCTCGTAGTTTATATTTATATACATAGTTGCCGATTGTCAACGATTATAAAAACGAGGTGCAAGGCTCGAATAATTCTATTTCCTCTTCCCAAATCGTCCATTTTTGTATACAAACTGAAGGAAAATTAGGGAGTATTTACTGTATTCTGTTCTAGCGTATCGTTAGTTCGTTTGCAGATGATAATTGTCGAAATATTTTTCGATATACGATCGATTTAATTATTTAATAATATTCGTTTTGTTATATTCATGTTGTACATATAGCATAGCCTTAAAAGCAAATGCGCAACATTTTTTAAACAGAAATCATCAGTCGCACCTTGAAGAACGTATCGCATCATGTTTTTTATCGTACCACGATTTGCACTTCAGGAAGATTAGGATTGTTCGGTTACCTTCGGAAATTCGTTATAACACAATTTTCGTCAGAACTTGCTTTTACTGTTGTATTAACGGTTCTCGTGCGACGAACAACGACACGTCGTCATGGCCAGCATTTCAGCGAAAAGTACAACTGTGCGACGCGACGGGTGTCGGTAATAATTACAAATTCAATTATATCGATGGGTGTTCGATCTTCACAGATAAAGTTCATCATCACCAGTAGAGTAGGAAATAAGTAAACGAGAGGGCAAACAATACTTCAATGAAATTATTTTGCAGAATACTTTAACACATATATTGCAGGGTTATCTGGCTAAAAATTGAAAGATCAATACGGTTTAACGAGTAATTCGTGTGTTTCAGGTACGAAAGGCTGCTCAGAAGAGCGAAGACAGAGGATCTGACCGAAGTTTCTGGGATCGGCTGCCTCTACCAAAGTGGTGTCGACCGTCAGGGCCGACCAGTAGTCGTGTTCGTCGGCAAATGGTTCCCCGCCACTAAGATCAACCTAGACAAGGTAAGACTAGAATTTACAGTGCTACAAAGTAGAGCTTCGGTTGTAAATTTATCTGCTGAAACAATAATCTTATACTATTTATCAGACTACAGTCCGGGACAAAATGATAGCTAGCTTACCATTATTGTTCCTCTTTGTAGATGCATGCAAGGAAACACACACACATATATATATATATATATATATATATATATATATATATAGTATACTATATCATACATTGTATATATATTCTATATTATATATATGTATTGTATAATATGTGTATATGTATATTATTATATATTATTTTTTAAAATACGATCGTATCTTATACTTTCTGAAACGTGCTTAAAGAGATGTCCTTGATTTTCTACACATGCGCAAAAATGATCGCCGCAAATAAACGAGACCGGTAGAAAACGTGTCGATATTCACACACTAGGTCTCGAGACTCTTACCTTTGCTCCGATCGAAACAAAATTACATGACGCATTGTCAACATATGGTAAATATGTAGACGGGAAGAAGACACGATAAAAGACAGAGCCGAGCTGAGGTCAAAATCGATACGCGCGGTCCGTTCGCGGCTTAACCAAGCGTGCTCAACTCTTTTATTATGGACTAGCGTGTTTAACAGTTCTTTACAAGCTGATCGATCCATTTAGCATAGCTCTGAAGGTAGAGAGGAAATTGGCTCGGTTTTCTGGAACGAAATTGTCCGTCTCTTGGTCTCTAAACGTCGCCTATATCCGCCGAATATAATCGGCACGAGCGCCGCCGACGAATCATCTTCATCAATGAACTTATTGCGCAATCTGAAGTAATTTAGACGGAACGCCTGCGACACCTCGGTAAATATTTAACTGAATCTCGAAGTCTTTAACGCTTTCATGTGCAGAACGTCCAGAAAATGTATTGAGCGAACGCTGATTTGTTTTTCTTCTGTCGGTCTTCGTTAACATTTATAGAGGACGTACGAGGCGTAATTAACGCTCGTATGGCGAACTTTTCTGTTAACAATGTAACCGATGTATGTTTAGGATCGTTTATAATTTTACTTATTAACGTTTGATAAGAACGTATTTTTTAAGGTACTTCTATTGTAGGTACGTTGTAATTCTTCTACAGACCTTAATGAAACATGTGAACATTAAAATTAGTTGTCAGAAACTTGATATTCAAATAAGACGTTTTAGACATTAGATCCAAATGGTAAAGCCGTCCAAGTGTTGAAAAGAGATTCGACGCGATAAGATTCTCAAGTCGATATCAGATATGTTTTAATGGTTATACGTTTTTGTATCAGTCTACAAAATTTTGAAGAACTGTGATTATCCCCGAGATTAAAATAGCAACGATCTATCAGGGAGATAAATTTAATTTAACTCTCTTAAACATATCCTGGAACAGATGTTCAAATATTTAGACGGTTCGTACAGCATTGATCAACCTTTACTGGAAACATTTTCTGAAAGTATATACGTAACTTAAAGCAGCAGTAACATTAAAGGAATTTGAAGATGTCAATGTATTATTCACAATTCTATTTTATTACGAAAAGAAATTGTTAATTTACTTCCGTTTCTTTTAGATGTATTGGATTATTTTCTCTCTTTTGAATACTCAGAAGTTTTTCCTTCTAGCATATAAGTTACAAAAACGAATCGACGCCGAGAGTCTCGCCAGAGTACCATTAGATAAACAATGATTTCATATGTATATAGAACAGAGTGCTCTTTGTCTTTAGGTGACGTTTTTGGTTTCGTCTTTGTGAATAGTCTTCAGTCTCCTGGAGCAATCAGGAGAGTAAAGACGGTCCTTCCTCGTACATCAAATTAATAAACTAAAAGGGATAAGTTTAATTCACTGCGTTTTACTTTTATTTATCTAAAATTATCCAATAAGATGACGCAGTAAATTTTTATTTATCGTTTCCGGTCAAATATGAGATTGTTTCATTCGTTTCGATTTGAGTATTAACATCTGAGTCTTTTTTCTTTATCTTTCCTTTTTATGTTCCTGTCATTCTTGTAATAAAACGGATGTGCAATTACTGTGGTTATGTCATACGAATTTTTTATCAGTTACGTAAATTGGAAATCATTAAACTAAAAGAGCTATTACACAGAACTATTGTAGATCCTAATAAGCATTTCTAACAGATCTGAAAGAAATATAGGGTGTCCCGAGAAATGAGGGGTTCCTGAGGTCATTTGAAATAACTTTTTCCTTAGCGAAAATGCGATCCGTGGCTTCGTTTACGAGTTATTAACGAAAAACAGTGACCAATAAGAAGCGAGATCAGCTGGCGCGAGACAGCCGAGCCAATAAGCGGAACTGGGCTTCTTGCGCTCGTTGGCTGAGCCGTCTCGCGCAGACCGAGCTCGCCTCTCATTGGTCAGTGTTTTTCGTTAATAACTCGTAAACGAGGCCGCGGATTGTATTTTCGCTAAGAAAAAAGTTACTTGAAATATCGTCGGAAACCCCTCATTTACCGCTTGTACGATAATTTTGGAACACCCTGTATAAGAAATAGATATTATCGAACACGCTTGAATGTAGAAATGAACAATTGAATAAATCTTGAAAATCTGTCTTAATTAAAGAGACAATATTTCGATCACTATTTCCGATACTGTTTATTGAAATTCTACCACGGTCTAGTTTCGCTCAGAGGATTTTTTTATTTAATTCCAGCTGCCAGTTGCAGAAATTGTACACCCGCATGAGATGAATCGAGGAAATAACGTGAAACTTATTGTTGGTGTAACGAAGCGAAATTTAATACCAGACAGGAGAGACCGCGCGTCGAATTATTCATTCCATCGATCGAATGTTTGTTCGCCGTGTGTTTATTCGGTAGCCTGTCGCGTACAGCGATTGCCACTTGATCATTTGACCATACAATGGCATATTGGCTGGCTGGCTGGCCCGTTAAATGATCATCTTGCATCACTAACGCTGCCTCTCGACATTACATAGGGCTGGAAGTTGAACGTGAATAGCGAAAGTTCAGATATCGTTCCCGCATCATTGTAAATTGCATTTCCTTACTTTTATCGTGGTCTTTGATGGTATTTTGTTATTTGCGTTTAATGGACGGTGTATGAAGACATTCTATGGTCGAATAGAATTTCAGACAGTAAAAATATAAACATATATTGTTCGAACTGTTGGTGTAATACTGATGTTCCAATCGTTGAAGTAAATGTTACGTTCATTGAATTAATAAATCTGCAAATTTTTGAGTGGTATTTTATTTAAATAGACAGAATTGTGTGCAAGTACATAGATATTACAAAATTGTTTTTAACGATCCAATAATACGCGTTACACTAAATCCGATTCCGACAAGATTAGTATATTAAAAATTTTATTTCATGAATATTCTAATTTTTATACAGAACTTGAATACAAATTATGAATGCCTATGTATTCTATTTGTCTCTGTAATATTAAATATCATCTGACCTATCTCAATTCAATCGTTTTCCATTAGTGAACGTGTTTCCTTCAATGAATATACATATGTAATACCGTGCATAATAGAATCATCTTTTCTTTATCTTCTTTATCTTTCTTCCACTTCAGAAATTCATATTGATGAATAATGCGTTGCGCATTACATACATTTGTGTGTGCTCCGGTTGTTGTACTCCATTTTTCAATACTCCGATCTATAATATATATAATTTTTAATCCTCGCAATACCAGCGGTTAGGCGTTCACACTGGACGTTCGGGTTTAGATGGACCCATCACCTTTTGTAGACAAACATTTTGCACTAAAATTTCGTTGTTTATTATTATTATTACTATCTTACCGCAGTTCTTTTTTCTCTCCATGTGATTACATTTGCTACATTTGTTTCTGTATTTGTCGTTATTGCTCTAATGTAAACAAACGGCCGAAAAAATCCCGGACGTGATACGGCGAGAGTTAGTATGTCTCTTGCTCAGAAAAAGTCCGCCGTTTCGGCAAAGGGACAAGGAGGGTGTTCCACTCGCACCGCCTGACCTGCACGCCCGTAGCCCCAACTCCTTTATGACCACCCGAAACCACTTCTATTTGTAAACGAGAAGACCCGCAAGCTGATCGACGCGAGGAGCAAGAGGGATGGGTCGCCCGCTCCACCCAATCACATCTCTTGTTTAGCGCGTAATTTAGTCAATGATAAATAAGAGTCTGGAATAAAAAAAATGGAAGTGGCTAGATGGAGCGGGCGTCATTTAATTTATGCGTAGTATTTCATTGTCTCGTTTCCCGATATTACGATCAGAAGAATTTCAAATTAATGCTTTAGGGATAAGTCAACGCTCTTGCACCTTGTGTTTGTTGCGCTTGTTTCACTTTGTCTCGCCTCACCTTCACCGCCCGTGGTCGCGTAAATAATACACACACACACACACACACACTCAAAGCACAGGCAAACGCGTTGGCTGTGCTTCTAGCCGATAATGGTGACCACGGGTGAGCGAGACGGCGACGGAAGTCAGGAGGCGTTGTTTGTTTTTAATCGGCTGGACTCGAGTCTCTCGTTTCGTGGAAATTCAGTGTTGCGGCTAACTTGGGACTAATAGGAAGGGATAATTTCTACTAATAAGGGAAACGCGACTAATGAATGGGTTGATGGAAACCGGCCCTACACTTTTCTCAGTGGACTTCTTCTGAGCAACGGACAGTACATACAAATTTTTGCTTCCATTATAGTGGAATCATTTGTATTTCACCGCCAGATAACTGTTTTATCTATGTTAGTATTGGAATGCCAATTAACTCTCGGAGGACAGATTTTTGTCGGCATAAGAACTAGGTCTCGAGCGGCCTAGGTTCGTCCTATGGGGGTTAAAGGGCACGATCAGTACGTGTGATAATCATTTCAGAGTGTAAAATATATGACGAAATATTTCATCATACCCAGTTAACAGGGTAAGTCTTTCATGCATAATCTAATTCTCTCTGACGAAATTGCTCTTTATTATTTCAAAAAATCTTTGCCAATCGTAACTAAGGGTGCG